TGTCCACAAATACTGTAAAATATGTTACTTGTCTTATGTTGCCTTCTAGTGGGTACTTTGTGATCTGCACTGCTAACTGTAGTAAATAGAAGGCTATGCCAACATTAATTTCTTTGTGAAATAACAACACAGCTAGCTATAAAATAAATATTCTTGATTAGCTGCAACTGCACTTCTTATTTTATCAATGGAAAAACAGGTCTCCCTTCATATTAAAATGTACTGATGGATGACAATTTATCTGTTGACCACAGTGGATTTTTCAGTCATTTTAGAGCCAAAGTAATTTTATTGAAGACCTGTCTACAAAATGACTGTACAGTATGTAGCCTAAGGAACAATCCGTGTCTTGTTGCGACTGGTGGCCTTGCTATGTGAGGTGACCAGAAAAAAACACCTATTATTGCATTTTGGCGTAATGCAATGGCTAGTTGACTTGAGTTTATTTACCCATTAAACAGGTAACCTTAGCCATCATCGCAGCAATTACCCCCCCTTAGAAATATGGCAGGAGCCGTCACTTGTATACAAACTGTATATGTGGCTGGACAGTTTTATTTGTTTATAATTATAATCCTATTGTATTATATGATTCAAAAAAATGTAAATCATAAAAAAATAACTTCTGGCCAGAATATTTTCAGTTCAAAAACAACATATAACATATAAAAACAAAGAAACCCACCACTAACAGCCAGATTTCCATTCTCTGAAACCTCAAATCTGTTGGTGGCAGGCATGAGATGCACCTCCAACACGATAGAACCTGAGAAGTGCAGAAAAATTAAAAGAAAAGACATGTTGAGTGACAGAAACAGATGGGCGGATGAACTGCTTGTCCGCCTCATCAATGTTCATCAAACTCCATACACCCCCACCCCTGTGCTCACACCCCTGATGCTCTACTCTCACCTGTCTTTGGTAGGATGGTAGCTCTGTGGATGGTGATGTCCTCAAAGTTTACTGGGGTGCTTTCCATGACAGCACCCAGACTTCTCACAAAAGTGCGCCAGGCCAAAACCAGGTAGCCCGTTGCTGGGTAGAGTACACGCCCATCAATGCAATGTCCAATCAGGTAATTGTTTGTAGACTCCGGGTTTACATCTGTTGTTGGTTTTGGACAATGACCCACAAGGTGGCCAAGTATGATGAAAAAGCACAGTTTAATATTTTTCCTTTATATGACAATGAGGTTGGATGCCAATTTTTATTCCACATGTGTAGTCCTTACCAATATTATAGATGGTGGCAGAATTGGATCCTCCGGAGCCAGAAGAAAAATCCTCAACCTTGGGGACATCCCAAGTCTGGGCATGGTCCCAGTGGACCAAAGGAGAGATCAAAGGGGTACCAACTGGCACAGGGTACATCACGGCTGGACAGAGCTTGTTAACATCCACATTGATGCTACAGAGGTGCATCAAAAAGAATTTTAATATTAATGATAACAAACTGCATCTAAGGGTGCTCAAATAGGAGTAAACAGCAAAGCCCATCCAGAACAACATATCCTCCAACCTAAACTGATACACCAAAAGTCACTAAAAATAATAGAGTGAGGCAATTACTGACCCATTAATGTAGATTTTGCCAAGGTTTGAGAGGAAGAACTCAAGGTTGTTGGGGATTCCTATCCTCATCAAAGGAAAGATGGAACACGTAGGCTTCAGGCTGCGCTTCAGGATGGTCTGTGCCGAAAACAAGTATAAAAGGTTTGACACTCAGAAGCTAGAGCAGCTCATCCACAAACCAAAAGGTCAGCTCTTCGATCCCAGTCTCCCCCAAGCAACATACCGAAACACATTGCTCCTGACGGAGTTGCCAGCAGTGTAAGTGTGATGTATTATAAAGTGCATCTTTGTGCAGAGAGAGAAAGAAAGAGAGAGAAAGAGAAAGGTTTTACTCACCACAGATTTAGAATTATTCATTCAACCCTAGAAACTAACACTTATCATAATGGAATATGAACCTAATAGTTGAGATGTCATATATTATCATGTGCATATTATTAATAACATATTTATTTTTTTATTCTGTTATCATCAATGTTGGATTATCGCAACAACCTTAGTTGCTATCAGAGGTAGGACCAAGTCATTGTCTATCATGTAATGTATCTTACATGTAATGTCATATGTAAGTCTAATCGATAAAGTCGAGAGTAATGTACCAAAAAGACAGAAAAGTCCCAAGTAAGTCCCAAGTTAAGGATTGAGTGAGTTGCTTTTACAGGATATAATTGAAGTGAGACTTAATATTTCAATAAAAATGTGTTATGAATTTGGAAAACTTCCTGTTTATTGGACAGCACTATTTAATGGTAGGGGATTGAAATGCATAGCAAAGAAGAAGACACAGCAGAAATCTCAGTCATTGTATACTCCAAAATGTATAAAACAGGAGAGCTGTCATTTTAAACTGCCCACCATGGAGAAAAAAGGATGGCTAGCCAAAGTGCTTGCTCATTGTGGGAACTGTGTTCTCACAAAGCAGACTTAAATGATGAGGGAGGGTCTTCACACACCGGTTGCTATGACCACAAGTCTACAGCACATCCTGTCCTTTGCTAAAGTTGTCCCTCAGAATTTGAGACCCGTATGCATACAATTAAGTTCCACACGTGGACTCGCTGCATTCATTTGGTACACATGTGTACCAAACCGAAAGGTTTGTACCAGAAATATGTGGTTTGAATACATGTACCGTTACACCCCTATAACCTAATAATAATAAATCAATATTAAAATCAATAGTAATGTAATTACTTTGCCTTCACAGTAAGGGCCCTGCCACTGTCTTGTCAGCGCCACTGCATCTGAGCACATTACTCTGTTTCTCTCGTTCCTGCAGGAGTGTGTGTGTGTGTGTGTGTGCATGTGTGTGTCTGTGTCTGCCCATCTCTGACACTTCATACAGACAGTTATTATTCAGTTATTAATCAATGGTATTGGATCATGAATCCAGATTGTTCTAGTCACTGTTGTCCTGGCTGTGCATGTCACGTTACGTGTCGTGTTATGTGTGGCAGGTGAACGTGTGTTAAATTAAACAAAGTTTGATTGTTGGTGTTTATTGTTAAAGAGTAAAGTGAGCACAGTTCAGAGGAGGAGTGAGGACATGCAGCAGGGTAAAACAGCACAGGCTGCCACTGCAAAATGAAAATAGTGGAAACCCTGAGTCATTGAAGGTAATGATGTCAAGTCTGACTGATGTCTTGAGTCGTAGGTGTTCAAGTCCAAGTCAAGTTAGAAGTTAATTTTGATTGTGTCAAGTCATCAAAATCGTGACTCGAGTCTGACTTGAGTCCAAGTCATGTGACTGGAGTCTATCCCTAACCCTAACCCCTAACCCTTGCTACAATATGAAATATAAATATACATATATACATACATATATAATATATAAATTCAATACAATCAACTATATTTTATTTCCCTTTCACTATGGATACTTCCATGCAATACAAAGTTTTTTGAAGAGAAAAATGAAGACAGTGTTGATAATTGACTCACTGATGATACATACAGTAAGTACGTGCTAGCATGTAATTTGATGCCTGTAGAAACAGTAGCCAGTGTGTTAATGTGAGGAGTGTAAATGCTTAAACTGCAGCTTTTTGGAATGTTTGTGGTCTTTTAACATCATGCTTAGTGTACCTGTAGCACAGCATTAGGTGCAATCTCCACCACCACAGCGTTTTCGGGAACCAGACTCAGGCCCTCCTTAAACAGCACAGGGCTGACCAGGTTGTTGACATAGTACTCAGCTGAGCTGTACAGAGCCAGAGGAGAATCCCACGCAGACTGAGGGATACTGGTGCTTACCCAGCGGGGTGAACGCTGTAGTGGCTCCGTGATAACCTATACACAACATGTTTCTTTTGTATTATTTGGTAGTTTTTATAATCATGATCATAGTCAAATACAATCAAAAAAGCATGAAAAGATGTGCACGAGGCAACTTGGTTTACTTTATTACTCGTACCATAGTATTATTTATAACAATGATGCTAATAATTTGACATATCTAGCCTGGTATAACAGTTTCAGGTATAAATGCAACCAAAACTGTCATCATGATGCAGGATACAAAACAGGTTTACAAATTATTATAAATCAATTCATTCATTCATTAACGAAGACAGTATGGCAGCTGTTAGATTGTGCAAACGTCATGACTTCACTGTTGTGGACAATTCAAATACAGCAGAGCTATTTACCTTCTTTAGAGCAGCCAGCAGGTTAGGAGCGATGGCAGCCATGAAGTAGGAATGGAAAGCGACACCAGCAGTGTGCACTTCTCTTGCAAACACTCCCTGGTCTTTCAGTTCAGACACAAATTTTCGGATTGCTTCCTAATGAAACACACATATCACATTTGTCAATGAAATACTACAACCTAACAAAGTTTAAAGGCTCCTTTAAAACAAATTCCATGTTGTCACTGCTATGATTTTCAACAAAGTTTGGTTGAATGTTTGACCTGAGGACCAGAGATGGTGATGGTTCTCTCAGCATTGTGGCAGGCTGGGACAACTCCCTGAGGACACTTAGCCATGCATTCCTCCCAGGTCAGCCCTGAAGGATGGACAATGAGCACAGGTGTAAGACTATTCACTTCAACTTTATTGCAGACACAAAAGTTCCATATATCATTAAATCATTATTAAAACACATACAGGCAATTGTTTTAGTGTTTCCAGAAAGAAGAGGAATACCATTTGTCCCTGTGTCGAGGCTCAGGTAAGGCCATTATGATAACATTTCTCGAATAAGTTAATCAAAGCCTACATTTATACATGAAATTCCTCAAGACAGCATGGAAAGTAGGAACATTAAACGCCACAATAACCTGACCTGCACTTGCCCATCTCTGGAAACCTTAGAAAGATTTTAAATGTATCATTCAATGCCACCTGAAGCTTTTTAATTTTAGCTTTACTGTAACTGTTAAAAGGCTGCCGGTAAATAGCAGGTACATTGCGAATAACAAAAGCCATATCCGTACATTGTAGGCAATCATCTGGAGTTACAGAGGCAAATTTCCTTGGTGCGATCATTAATGGAACTCGGCAGTATCCCTTTAACAAATCAAATTTTGTTAGACAAGAGGCACTCCCAACCCGATCCATACAGCCTCCATTCAAGGCAATAGATAACAATCTGGCTTTGTCACGTTGTTTATCTTACGGAAATCAGTACAAAACCATTAATCAGGCTTATCAACCATGAGAACTCCACAAGCTCGAACTGGGCTCAGCAATCCCATGCTCGAGCATGTACTCAACCTCTCTCTTAAATTGAAGCCGCTTATCCGGATTGACTCTATACGCATGTTGTTTAATTGAAGGTGAGTCTTGCCGTGCTGGATGTCACACTGTCATCTGTAGACACAGGCTTACGTTTGAGTAAGGTTTAATCATATTAATATGACACAACCTATATTTATGATTTCGATTTGAGAGTGGCAATGATAGGGACCACTGAAGCGAGCTTGCAGGCTGGAACCAGGGATTGGCAACAAGACTAACACCTTATGAAACTTATGAAACTCTGCTGTTTGCTTCTATCTTGCAGACCTTTCATTCACTTTTGAGAAATAACCCGATTTTCTCTTGCCAGCTCACAAGCATGTAACATTGATTTAAGCATCTGATGGAATCGCCCAAGCGCCCCCTGAAGTTTGACCCCTGGTCTGTCTGAACAACCTTTGGCAACCCAAACATAGAGAAAAACTTAACTAACGCCTTTATTACAGCAGGAGCAGTTATGTTACGCAGTGGTATGCCTCCAGGGGATTGTGTGGTTGCACACCATTGGTGAACAAAACCTTTTCATCCGTCTTACTATATGGAAACAGGCCGACACAGTCCACAAGTACTCCCTCAAAAGACTCACCAACAGCTGCAATGGGGTACAAGGTGCCAGTGGAACATTCTGCTTTGGCTTACCAGCAATATAGTTACTCTTCAGGCCAGGCCAGAACCTTGCTGCATGCCAAATCATTGCCCAAAATGAAATGAATGCCTTCAATAGGAAAACATGGGCAATTCCCACAAACACTGGACCCATAATCAAGTCTGCAAAGGCTGCACATGAGAACACCAGCATCCACAGCAGACTTATTAGAGAAAGGCAACACACTATTCAAAATGAATGACTTAATGCTGTATTCCTCAAAATAGTCACTGGAACTTTCCCTGGCTCACTATCCCTGGTTAAGGACACAAACATATGTATGAAAAATGGAGCATAAACTTGTAGTTCAGACTCGCTAGGTACAGATACAACATTTAAACATGGGGCTAGATGTTTTAACCAAAGTGACAGACTTAACTGCCTTTTTCTCCTTCTGTAAAGCATGACAATTTGCAACAAAATGTCCCCGTTTTTTTACAATAAACACAAACTGGGCTCATTGTAGCGGACCTCCCTTCAATGTTGTTAGAAATGCTGAGTTTAGACAGCACACCAGAGAGATTGAACCATCTTTTGAATATGCACAGCAACCCTCTCAACAAACACAGTCTTGTGAGTGAGAACCATTTAATCTGTGAGAATCACAGCATCATAATATTTGACAACCTTCTGTTTGTTCAGCTAAGTGGGAACACTCTTAGGTAAGCAACTTTTAAACTCCTCCAGAGCATCAAGGTTTTAAGTTCATCTAATATTTTAAAACCCAGCACTGATTACCACCTGTCAAATAACACCTCTTTCTCAGGAGCAAACTTGAGAGGACTCCACTTTCCTGTATTTGCGGAACATCTGGTGATAAGCCTCTGCCACAAGTTCATATGCTCGTAAAATATTTATCTACATGATTATCACAAGATCACAGATCCCTTGTCCCATTAAAATGTCTGGATGTCAGTGTCTGTGATTGAAAATGGATTTGTGCTGAATGTCCTACGATGCCATCGGACTGCAGACCCACCTCATTATATATATATATATATATATATATATATATAATTTCTTTTATTTTAATAAAACTCCTTCCCTCTGGAAAATGTGCCTATCTACCTGAAATTTGGAAAATAATGACTGCTTACCAACTGCAGCCATGCCTCCTGGAGGAAGTTTGGCCTCCTTGACACAACGGCCTCTCCAGTAGGCAGCCAAGATTGCCTCACTGTGGCCAAGGGAACCGTCAGCATAGCCACAGGCCAGCTCTCCTGCTGAATGTCCTACGATGCCATCGGGCTGCAGACCCACCTTATTGAGCAGGTCAATCAGAGCGATCTGTAACAAGGTGATTGAGATAACATATAAGGGTTTAGTTTCAGTTGCTTGTGTTTTTTAAATGACAGTAATGATCTACTTTTGTGGCATTAAGCGATCTTGCCTCAGCTCAAGAACTTATTTTTTTAAAAGTTTCACAAGAACTGAACATTGAACTATACTTTTTGCTTGCCTCTCCCACTGCATGGAACCTTCCTTTTGCAACTAGATTTCAAATTGCAAACTAAGCCCTGATGGCTGTGTCAGCGTATGAATGATGAGTCATTGAGAATGTGCTGCACATAAAAGCACCATATGAATGGGTGGATGGCAAAACTGTACTGTAAAGTGCTTTGAGCAGGATCAGCTGGTCAATAGGAGGCGATAGGGAAAAATATGATAGTGATACATTTAATTAATTATCATTATAATCGTCATTATTATTTTTAAAATGTATTAAATTACACAAATTCTCAAGACAGTTTGTCCTGCCTGCTGAATATCATGTTCAATCAGCTGCAGCATTGAGCCCTGTTCAATAGAGCACAGGGCAATTTCAATATGGCTGAAAAAAATCACCCCACTTCACTCTCATAGACTTTCATTGTAAAACGTTTTTGCAAACTGCAGGAACTGCAATGCAATCTCTATGACTTCCAGGGCATGCACTAACATGATTTCTTCATACGTAAGCTGTTGCTCTTGCACTTTGGTCCAATCACGCCGTGCCTTTCATCTCGCCACTCGAGAAGAGCAGTGGGTTTTTTTTGTGAACGATGAACTGAACGAATCAGTTTACATATGATATATGATAGGTAACCGCAAAACTCAAAATTATTGTTCAAAATACAGCTGCACTTTAAAATAAATGATAATGTCAATATGTCAATAGCCACATGCATAGGGGCCCTGAAGAAGTGACAAATTGGAAGACAGAGTTCATTTAACTGGCTAAAATGATACTATGTCCTCTGCATTCTTCAGTTTAAAATAAGCGTCCAGTATAATAAACTCTGGTAGTTAAAACTACCAAAACTAAAATTTAGTTAACTTGGTCTTGTGACAGTGGGGATCTTTTGAGGACGTTTTGAATTCTCTGTTTGCTGTGACTGATGTATGTGTCTTACATTGGTGGGTGGGGCTTGTCAGTAAAATAGTGATTGGCAGTGGAGAACAGTTTAGTTCAGTGACCAGTTAGACAGGAATAATTTGTCAAGTTCATGTGGTGATGAAACATCATGCTCTAGTTTTTTGGACAGTTCATGGATTATGCCATTTTTTGTTTACTAAGAAGAGCTGGGATCTATTGAATCAGGTCTCAACCTTGGCACTGGGTCAACAATGTCTCAAAATCAAAGTGATGATCATATATACATATCATATATTTAAGCTCTTGACCTTCTATGTAAAGTACCTTGAGATAATGTATATTATGATTTGGCACTATACAAATAAAATTGAAATTGAAAATTACACAGAGCACATTTAAAAGTTCTAGACATCAAGATAGCGCAATCGAAAATTATGTTTTGGCTGTTCAAAATCAGACACTAACTCTACTGGGGTCATGTATGATGATACATGCTTTTTGTGTCATTAAATACAATTCGATCATCAGGAAAAAGGAACATGACATAGGAACTACATATCATCCAAACCCTGTATGAGTTAAAAACATATATATATATGTATGTAATGTATTCTGTTTAGGTTAGGGTTAGGGTTACTTTGATAACCTCCTTTCTGTTTGGGTTTCTATAACATCAGAAGAACCGTGAAGATTAGGCAAATTACACACAGGCACAGACATTTTATTCATATATTGCTCTTCTAACCCATACAAGTCAATATATATACAGGAGCACCTTGTACACATATATATATATAGTCCATATGAATATGACACAAATTTGCTATTGATTAGCCATATCAAGGTTCCTACAGCCAAGACCATATTTTTACTCTACCTGTATAGAAGTGAGGCCAACAAAGGCATTAATAGTGTCTTCAAAAGTGGTATCGTCAGCCTCCATGAGCAAACGAGACACGACCAGGCCTGTGTCTTTCAGGGCTGCGTCTGACCGCAGAATGGACTCTCTAAAGTCTTGCAGCTGCATGAGACTGCGGCCCATACCTGCCCACTGTGTTCCCATACCTGTTGATACAATAAACAGTCACAGAACTTAATCCAGCATTACAGTTACTGGAGTCGTTATCTTTTTAAGGACATCTGAAATAACACTTCCGTTGCAATGCTCAATAGAAAATGTTTGAGCAATATCTGTCATGATATTCAACAATTGTGGATATGTATTCTTGTATTTGAATGCCACCAATGACAAATAGTTTGTATAATTGTTATACCATTAGGAGTGAACATGCAAAAAAAGCTGTGTACCATGATTGTCCAATTCTATTGTCCAAAAATGTTTAAATAGGTCGATTCATTTAATTTACAGTTTCTTTCCATGCACATAATTTTGGTTTTATATGCCCAGGTTTTGAAATGTCTGTTACTGAAAATTTTCTTCACACAATACAATACTGAAATATATAGAAAAATTATCCTTACCAAAAGCAAAATCTCTTTCTAGACACCAGATTACTGATAAATATTGTTTAATCAGCCAACAATGCACTCACGAAGCTTATCAACAAAAGCCTGCAGACTTCAATCTAATTAAACATAAGTATAGTGTAAATCTACATAAGCAAACAGAGACAGAGTCAAGTGTTAAAAAAATACATTTTTCAGCTTTAGACCTTTTAGTTTTTAGAACTTGGAGACAAATATTTTTTAATTTTCAAATATTTTTCAAGTTATTCAAGTGAATAAAGTGAATAATACAAGACTTTAATACATTTTAAGTTAAGAAATATAAAAAATTGTATCATTATACATTTTATTTTATTTGATGCAAGAATAAGAAGAAACAATTATTTTTAGCCGCCCTGCTCTACTTGGGGTGGGTGGTAGCATAGTGGGTTGTGCCAGCGCCTCCATGTATAGAGGCTACAGTTCTCATTGCAGTGGGCCCCAATTCAAATCCTGCATCAGACAGCCCTTTACTGCATGTCATTCCCCCTCTCTCTGCCCCCTGCTTCCTGTCTCTCTTCAACTGTCCTGGCATAAAAGGCCCCAAAAATATACTTTAAAAAAAAAACAGTCCAACCACTACTGCAGACAATCAAAAGACTGAATTGTAAGCTGGTATTGATTGGGAATTGCCAGCAAACCATATATCAAACTGATATCTGAAATTATAAAAAATTGTATCATTATACATTTTATTTTATTTGATGCAAGAATAAGGAGAAAAAATTCTACCTCTAAATTGATTGATGACTCACCTGCACAGATATACCAGAGAGGCCTGGCTGAGGCTTGCACCTGCTGCACTTCCATTACATCACTCTGAGAGCCAATTACAGTGTATCCTCTGAATGGCATGCTAGTAGAGGGACCTCCTGAGACCTCATTCAGCAAAGACAGGAAGCTGTCATCTGCAGCGTGTTCCTTCCCCTTCTGGAGAATGGTATTCACTGCAGCCTCTGTACGGCCACAGGCATTAAGCACCCTGGGAACAATCCTTGGTGGTACAGTTGCATCAGCATGTTTCTCATTTGGACGAAGAATTACATGAACATTTGAACCACCAAATCCAAATGAGTTAATGCCTATTATGCCTCCTCGGACAGGTATGGGCTGGTCAACAACTTTAATCTGACCATCGATGAGGGCCGGAATGTCAGGGTTGGGACTGTTGAAATGCAGGTTGGGAGCCCAGACTCCTCGTTCCAAAGAAAGCAACACCTGTTTTGGGGGATGTAAAACAACAAATTAAATGAAAAGCTTTTTTTACACAATAAAAAAGATCTGCTTTATTGTTTCATTGTGAAGCTCTGTGCTGTACTCTTTACCCTCATCACGCTCATCTTTCTCTCTCACACACAAATATATTGACTAGTCAGTCACAGTTTCAAATGATATTCTCCTGGCCTCTGAATAGGGTCTTGTCTCCATGCGGGTCTTGTTAGATCTCAGTGCTGCATTTGACACCATTGACCATAACATTCTCCTTCAAAGATTAGAGCAAGAGGTTGGGATTGGAGGGACCAGAACGTCAGAAGTTCAATTCCCAGTCTTCCCATCTGCATGCCAAAGTGTCCTTGGGCAAGATGCTGAACCCGAATTGCCCCTCATAGAACAACAATAAAAGTGCTACTCTAGATGCACTGTGTGTGTGAATGGGTGAATGGCAAACTGTAGTGTAAAGCGCTTTGAGTGGTATTCAAGACTAGAAAAGCGCTATATAAATACAACCATTTAAGCTGGTTTAGTTCTTATTTATCGATTTTTGTTAGTGTTATTGATGAATACCCATCATACACTAAAGTTAATAATGGAGTCCCACAAGGCTGGTTCTTGGTCCAATACTCTTTTTCACTGCTATGCAGTTGACACCCAGTTATATTTATCTATGAAGCCAGACGAAATGAACCATTTAATTCGATTTCAAAACTGTCTTAAAGACATCATGGCCTGGATGACCCAGAATTTCTTATTGTTAAACACAAACAAAACTGAGGTCATGATCCTGGGTCCTAGGCATCTCAGAGAAACTCTGTCTAACCAGGCGGTTAACCTAGATGATACCGCCTGATTCCGAACTCCACTAACAGGAGTTATCATTGATGAAGATCTGTCATTAACCCAACAAATAAGTCAAACCTCCAGAATAGCTTTCTTTCATCTGCACAATATAAAGAGAATCAGACACATCCTGCCAAAACAGGATTCTGAAAAACTGATTCATGCCTTTATTACGTCTAGGCTAGACTACTGCAACTCCCTATTATCAGGATGTCCACGCAGGTCCTTAAGAACCTCTCAGCTGCACGAGTACTGACAGGAACCAGAAGACGGGATCACCTTACTCCTGTCTTAGTTTCACTTCACTGGCTCCCTGTTCGACAGAGTATAGATTTCAAAATCCTCCTACTGACTTATAAGGGCCTCAACAATCAGGCCCCATCATATATTAAAGAGCTCTTAACCCCTTACTGCCCCCACAGACCACTTCGCTCCCTAAACTCTGGACTCCTTGTAGTGCCTAGAGTTACTAAGAGTAAAATGGGTGGTAGAACTTTTAGTCACCAAGCTCCTCTCCTGTGGAACCAGCTCCCACTCTCAGTGAGGGAGGCAGACACGGTCTCTACATTTAAGGCTAGACTTAAAACCTTCCTTTTTGATAAGGCTTTTAGCTCAACACTGAACCATAGTCATCCATAGCTATGCTGCTATAGGCCTACACTGCTGGGGGATCACCCATCAAGCACCACAAACCAGCTCCTGCTCTCTTCTTCACTCTCTGCCTGGTTTATTTTGTTATATCTTATTACATATCTCTAACTCCTTGGGTCTTCTCCTCCCCTCCTTGGTCCATACTGTGTGGCCCGTCCTGGCTCGGGTCCTGATGAGGTATGGACCTAGTGAGGTCGCTGGGCTGACATGGAGGATCACGCAACCACCAGCAGTCTCACCTGAGGACTTCTCACCTTTGGAGCCATGGGTCCTACTACTGCGCATGTTTGACCATGAGGGAGGCAGGAGTCCCCGGGGGGACCACCGCACCCTTGGAAGACCATGCAAAAGTCCATGTGGAGATTCCCGGGCTGGATTCAAGCCCTTGACCTGACACTGTGACTCAATCCCCCCTTTATTTGCTTTTGTTACCCTATATTATTCGTTCTTTCTCCATCGACCCCAACCGGTCCTGGCAGAGGCCGTCCACACCGAGCCCGGTTCTGCCGGAGGTTTCTTCCACCTGGGAGTTTTTCCTCCCCGCTGTTGCTCATGCTTGCTCGGTGTGGAACAAGTTGGATTTTGTGTTTCTTAAAATCTTGGACATTTGTGCAGCAGCCTGAGACAACTGTTTGTTGTGATACTGTGCTATATAAATAAATTTGATTGAATTTGAAATTTGAGTCAGACTAGCCATTGGCAGCAATGAGAAAGAGTCTCAGGCTGCAGTGGAGCACAGACTCTATGATTTCCCATGAACTTTGTACACCCTAATATGATGAGAGTTCCTGTGCAGATGAAGATGTCAATGTGCAGACAAGACATATAGGTTGTGCAAAACTAAGGGCTTTTGATGTAATTATGGTTGTTCCTGGGCAAGGGTTCGTAAGGGCTACGATGTTCAGGGCACTATATTAGACTTGGCGCAAACGGCACAAAGCAGAACTGCAAATCAGTGGCTGTTAACAAACGTGGATTCGGACATGTCATAAATGCACTTGCACAATGTGCTTTGTCTCATAAGCTTAGATCGTAAAAAAAGAGGGACCAAAAGGCAGGCAAGCTGTAATCTTTTCGAACTGAATCTTAAAATGACCAAACCACCAAAATAACAGCGAGGTTACTGCAATGTCCACAAACCAGAGGGTCGGCAGTTTGATATCAGTCTCAATTCCACATGACAAGTGTCCTTGGGCTTGATGCTGAACACCAAATTTCCCCTGGTAACTGTTCCTGCAGTGTGTGTGTGATGAACAATAAAGAAAGCGCTGCTGATTTCTAATTTCTTGATTATTTATTGGTTGTTACTAATTGACTAATCAATTAAATGTTGCTTCTTTCCTGATTATATTTTGCTTTTGCTGGTGATTCAGTTCACTACAAAGACACAAAAAGACATTTCCAGTTTTGCAGAAATGTGGAACACTGTGGGTGCAACAAGAAAGGGGCCACAATGGCAGATTTCTTGTCCCTTGTTCCAGTTTAGACATTCAAACAGTGTGAAACACACAGAAGCAGTCTGAAAATATCAGCAAAAATGTAACTACAAAAAGAAACCCCACCTTTGCAAGGGCAGCCAGACCAGACGCCGGTTCTGGATGACCCATGTTGGATTTGGTGGAGCCAATAAGCAGAGGGCCTCGTTTTGATTGGCAAAATACACCAGCAATGCCATTCACTTCCTGTGGGTCCCCAACCTTCATATAGAGAGCATAGATGCCATAGAGGTAAGACACTTGTGGAGAGTGAACTTTGAAGTACAGTTTGAGTGAAGATGACTATAAATTTCAGTATGATGCTCATGAACAACTGTTTAATGTATTTGTCTTATGGAACAAAGACCTGCACTGACAACAGGCTGTAAGTCTATTTCTGAAACTTTATGAATTCACTGACCTTTGTTCCTGTGCCGTGGGCCTCCACATACTCCACCTGCTCAGGAGTTATATTTGCCTCCTGGTAGAGAGAATGAACCAGTCTCTTCTGCATTTCACCTGAAGGAAATGTGACACCTGAAGGACCAAGAGGAGTGCATAAGGACACAAAACACATACCATAATTGTTAGGTAACTGTAACTCTACTCACAAATTCATATCATAGACCATCACAAGATATTTAAGTAAAAAAAAATTAAATTGTCATCTCTTAGCTGTATCCAAACAACGTTGCAGCAATGTTAAAATAATCTCGTAGCATCAAGATGTTTTTGAATTTCTTTCAGTTTCTCTGTGTAGTATCTATGGCCAATTTAATTGTGATGAGATCACACAAAATAGAGCAACAAACACAACTAGTCAGGTGATGATATAGGTTGTGAACAAATGATCAAGATTGTTTGATTCACTTTTTAGGACAAACTGAAAGTGAGAGTACCATGTATATTTTTCAGTGATGTCAATGTATGCTCAGATCTCAATGGTTAAGCAAAATAAGTGTTATTACTACTGATCTAATTAGTTCAAAACTGCACATTGACTACAGTCATTGTACTTTGATACATCCCCACATTCCATTGTTGATGTCAGAAAGAACAATTTAGTTTATCTATTCATCTATTCTGTTCAGCTTTTATTAATAAAACACAGACATCAGTGTTTGATTGACAGTAGATAGTAGGCTGAGATCAGGCAGGGCAGGGCAATGAGACTGTGTGTGTGTGTGTGTGTGTGTGTGTGTGTGTGTGTGTGTGATGAACTGTTCTTGGGCAAAATACCGTACCGCAAATTGCCCGACGGCTGTCTCAGTATGAGTGATGTATGACAGAGAAAGTGCTGCACATAGATGCACTGTATGAATGCATGTGTGAATGGGAGAATTCACTAGTCATCTACTAGTCGTAGATGTATTCTACGACTATTGTTTCAGAGAAATTTTGATATTCGATGTAGTGCCCATGCGTTCATGCATGAGAGTATAGAGATTACAGGCAGTTACTCTTCACCTTGTTCTTTATATCCATCTGTGTTGTTGCCAGTGTTGACCACTGTGGCATAGACCCTTTTAGCCATTGATCGCTTGGTCAGTAGCACCACCACTGCCGCCTCAGAACGGCAGTATCCATTACCTGACAGAATGATATAAAGATTAACCTTATACCAGAGTGCATCTAGTGTAAATAATATACAGTTAAATACACTTGACTCACCCATGCACACCTGGCATAAAAATAAGTGTGTGACCAGAGAAAGAGAGAAAAACCCTGAAATTTATACCTGACGAGTCAAAAGATTTGCAGGTCCCCTCAGGACTGAGCATGCCCAGTTTCATGAACTGCACTGAGGTGTTTGGCTTGAGTAGCAAGTTGACTCCACCCACAAGAGCGGCATCACACTGGCCCTGGTGGATAGCATGGAATGCATTATCTAAAGCCAGCAAGCTAGAGGAGCAGGCTGTATCGATGGCAGTGCTGGGGCCTAGGGTAGGAGAAAACAGTGGATTAAATCTAGAAATCATATCTGCAAAAAAGAATAAGCCTGGGATAATCAGGCCTCTGTTAAGGCTAAACAATCATCTAAATGACAAGTAATTTCAATAATCTACAATGCTTGAAAATGTTTAACCAACAACTTTATCTAGGTCTACCTGAAAATATGCAGACAATCCTGCTGATATCAGATCCAGTGCAATTTTGGTAGATTTGATAAGCTCTGTGCTCCTTCATTCATACATTTCTGTTTATTCAGCTTGTCCTGTCTCTCTGACACTAACAAGGACGCTACAGTTATTGACAAAAAAGAGATGTGAGAAACATGTGACTACACAGCAATGTTCCAAAGTAGTTAGGAGCAAACACTGCTTTACTCTGAAGCAGTCAGAACAGGGATTTTGAATGTCACAGAGCAATTACAAAATAAGTGTTGACAGCCGAACAACAATTCAGCACAGTAGTTAATGTAATTTTCAGTATTAGCAGCCAGGAGGTTTCTCTCAATGTTTGATATAGCAAAGAGGAAAATGCAGTCTGAAATGAATACTAAAATGGAAGGTTATACTCAGTCTACATCCAGTATACTAATACAGACAAATCCTTGTAATGGTTCTTGTTATAATTATTGCCAGTTTCTCACACTGAGAATATACCAGATATATTACAATTTAGTAGAGAATATTGTTCCAGATGTAATGAGTAGAAATAGTAATACTAATTGAGTATTAACTGACAATAGAATTAGTATTTTCATGAATCTATAATGTTATCAGATCAGCATTAAACTAAAAGGCAAAGAATGAAAGCTTATGTTGGACCTAGATGTGTGTGCATACCACTGAAGTCAAAAAAGTAGGATAATCTGTTGGCCAACATGGCACGCTGACAGCCAGTCATGCTGTAGCCCAGTAGCTCCTCTGGATCTTTGCTGAATGCCTCGCCAGCTTCCGAGCCACTCACCCCAATGTAAACACCGGTTTTACTGCCACGTAGTGTGGTCGGGTTCAGTCCTGCATCACAAGATTATATTGTTTTTAAAACATTCTCTTAGCATCAGGTAGCCTCACTCAGATAATGCAGTTGTCTTTAAAGTACACAGTTTTAAAAACGGTGCAATTCATTCACTTTCCAGAATTAATTTACTTTGTTTCCTTTTCCACTTTTTATATCCACTTTCACTTGCATTACTTTAATCATTACCCAGTTTCCTCACCTCCATCTAAAATAGCTTCATAGGCAATCTCCAGCATGAGACGGAGCTGGGGGTCCATGGTGTTGGCCTGTTTGGGGTGCACTCCAAAGAAAGCTGCATCAAAGTGGCTAATGTCTTTCAGTTTACCATTTCTCTTTGGAAGACCATACAGACCTAGAAAAGACCAACATTGGTGAATGATAACTGTCAAAAGAATTCCTCACAAAGAAATGTATTCTTAGCACAATGTCAGTACAGACTTTGTATCATATATGACTAAACATACCATCATCACGCATAAGTTCCTAAGATTTAGAGAGAAAATAAGGAAATGGAATGTACAGATGATAACGATTGTTATGTGAAGCTGACACTATTAATTAACAGTTAGTATTGCAAAGAATAATATTGCAGGGAAAAATATAAAAAAGATATTTAAAAAAGCAGCATCCAGGGGCTGTAGTGGTTACATACTGATACATTTTAAATGAATATTATGCTTACTGCATCTTCCACTTGGAACAATTACTGACCAACATATTCTGTGAGACTACCATCTTAATCTTGGGCTTTTCCAGTAATATAGCTACCAAAGAGGTCACCAGGGAGTGCTGTTCCTTTTACTGTATATTACCAAAAATTATAATGGCTCTAGTTCAGACAGACCTCTAGCTATAGTGTGGTTTGTCAGACATGATGAATAGCAACTCTAAAGGAAGCTGCTCACACTCACTGCACTTGTTCAACAAAAACAGTAGCAGCACAGGGACAGCTTTGGCTGAAGGGTAGAGCGGTCATCCTCCAACCAGAAGGTCAGCAGTTAATTCTCAGTATTCCCCATCTGCATGCCGAAGTGTCCTTGGGCAAGATGCTGAACCCCGAATTGCCCCTTATAGAAAAAACAGTGCTGCTAATAGATGCACTGTATGAATGTTTGTGTGAATGGTTGAATGGCAAACTGTAGTGTAAAGTGCTTTAAGTGGTCATCAAGACTAGAAATGCTCATATAAATACAAACCATTTACCATTACGCCATCCTAAGACCAATTTCAATATTCCTGTTTGTGTGCAAATAAAAAACATCTAGGTTCCTGAGTAAAAAATACATCTTTTTTTTTTCTCTTTTTTGTTGTGTCCCTAGATCCTCTGGCTGCTTCTGTTTCCCCTTCTATTCACCGTGCTCTCCCTTGCCTATGCCTGGTGTGTGGTCTCACAAGTGTTAGCTAACCCAGTCCAACCCTTTCAGCCCATGAATGCAAGCTCAAGATGGTTGCCAAAAACTGAGGGATGGGTCTTTTATTCATTAGATGGAGGATGGGAAAGAGACCCAGTTCATGCACCGCCCTTAATCTCTGCAAATAGAAGTAGAATTAGTGATATTACAGCATTTCATCTGTAAGAGTCTTATTTTTTGAACATGAGGTATGTGTTTCAGTGTTGTAGTCACTACAAAATGTTTCTAAATCATTTTGGAAATGTTTTTTGGATCACAAGTAATTTTTGTATCACTGCTCTATTAAAAAAAACACTCACCCATGAACATTGTGGGGGTATTTTAGTGTGTGTTCCTCTGTAAACCTTGTTAATTAGAGAAAATAATTTTTGTTTATGTCGGTAAAAGCATAATCCAGATTAAATCAAAGATAGATTTTACCTGAAGTACTGAAATAAACTAGAAATACTGCTATATGCCTCTGCCAACCAGTGCAGTGTCAGTCTACCCATTTATTTCAGCGACACACCTGCTAAGGGAACCAACTCAGGTTATTAGCAACTCTATTCTGAGCAACAATAAGTTGCAGCAGTGGCGATTACACTCAAATGTATTCCTGGAGCCAGAGTTGGCACCATAGAGTCATATTTAAAACTGCTGGCTTAGGTTAAATGTAGCTACAGTAAGATTGTTGGGTGTAATGACATCTGACCACGTCAGTAAGAGGTCACGAAGATTAATATTGATTTAGTGTGTACCTATGCAAAGACAATGTTTTCTCTGGACACCTGCCTAACGTTACCAGTGATGACATGTACAGCCCCATGTCATCCTTTCACCGCTCACTGTTGAGGTGGTGTCCACAATACAATTTGGGCCTCATAGAAAATTGGCAAAGTTTGGGGGGAAACCTGGTGTGATTAGGAGAGATGGTATTCATTCCACTCTGGATGGGGCCCCTCTCATTTCTAGAAATATGACAAAGTTAATCAGCCAGTCAACACCATGACAGCCCAGAGTTGAGACAAGGAGGCAGAGTTGCAGTCTTACATGCTTCTCTGTGCTAAGCTTCATATCAGAACCAAAAGATAAAAGGATAAAATGTGGTTTATTAAATATCAGGTCCTTCAATTCCAAATCTCTACTTATCAATGATCTGATAGCTGACCATCAATTTGATTTAATGTGTCTAACTGAAACCTGAATGCAAAAAGATGAATATGTGGTTTTAAATTGAAGTGATGCCCCCTACCCAGAATGTATTGCAAATCACCAGCAAGCTGGGAGAGAGACCCACAAATGTAATATTTTCATAGCTATAAATTGTACCCATCTCTATCACTTTTTGCAGAGTTCTATCTGATTGTGACTCCAAAAAAGTTTGATTGAGAGGGAGAGTGGAACTGAACTTCCACTGAAGGACAATCAACCAAATCTTGCTGTACGTGGAGTCTCACCTGGTGTCCATCGCCGGTTGTCCTCTGTCACCATGTCCACACCATTGATAAGGTTTTCCCAGAATTCCTCCAGATTGTTGGACTCAGGCAAACGTCCCGATATGCCTGCTATGACTATCTCATCCATGCTGAGTTACTGTGAACAGAGTGTAAGAGAGATATGCCAATAACATGAGGGGGGGCACATTTTATATGCACTGTGCTGAATGTGATTGATACCAGACCGGCAAGCAACAACATTAATTACGAATATCCTGTCTCAGAAGGATTCTGAGAAACTAGTCCATGTATTCAAGATCCTCACATATAAAGCCATTAACAACCAAGCCCCTTCACATGTCAAAGAGCTCATAACACCGTATTGTCCCAATAGATCACTTAATTCCTAAAACACAGGCTCTCTTGTGGTTCCAAGAGTCAGTAAGAATAGAACAGGAGGTAGAGCATTCAGCTACCAGACTCCTCTCCTGTGGAACCAGGTCCCACTCTTGGTTCTGGGAGGCAGACACCATCTCTACATTCAAGTTTAAACTCATAACGTTTCTTTATTATAAAGTCTATTGTTACAGCTGGATCAGGTGAGTCCTGAACCATCCCTTCCTTATGCTGCTATAGGTCTAGACTACTGGGGGAACTCCCATCATGCACCAAGCATTATTATGTATATTAGGATTTGACGCTAAACACATACAATTGAATTGAATTGAATTGAGCACTTCTCCCCTTCTCTCTGCCCCCCCATTTGTTTATTTATTTTATTACATGTCACTAACTGTGTTTTTTCCCTCCCATAGTCTCTCTCTCTTTATGGGTATCTCTGACTCCAGAGCTGCAGGATTCAGACAATTATTAGTATTACTATTATAGTAATCATTGCTGCTATTATTAATAACATCTTTAAATCCATAATTATCACTCTTTTTCACTGAGCTGAAACATGATGCTGTTCCTAGTCTCTCTCTCCTCTCTCTCTCCCCTCTCTCTCCCTCCCACCTATCTACATAACATATGCCTTGGAAAACAATGCCAAATGCTTGAGATGGGCTAAGAGATTTGTGGCGTTAACAATATGTGCATGTATGTAAGGAGAACAACAGGAGAAGGACTAATAAAGCAGTGTATCACCAAACTCACACCGTCACCAAGGAGAACTACTATTATATTCTTCAGAGACTTGTTATAT